AAAAGTTCCGGGGCTTCAAATGGTTGTTCTAAGCAGAAATTTTAAAATAAAATTTTTTGAAATTCTAAAAGTCTTTGAAATGCAAAACAATCTGTATAAGCGCTATTTGAATCAATAGATATAAGATCATACATGATGTAGTAAATTTTTTAAATAAATTTGTAAATATGTATGTATATTTATGAATGCGAAAGAGTAACAGTCGAGTAATAATTACAAAAATTGAAAATAAAGCTCATATTTTTTGGGGTTCGGCTAAAATTTTTTAATTTCATTCAGAGAAGATAAAATAAAAATTTCAATTTTAACAAGGTTTTTTTTTCTATTTGTGTCGAAGGAAAAACCATGAAAATTCTATTAAAATGCATACATATATATGTATGTACAAGAGAGAAATATAAGTTTATATTTTAGAAATTTAGTAATATTCCTTAAAAAAATACACCCATATTTACATACATGCTACATATGCATGTACATATCCAGATTTGTTCTCTATTTCAAAAAAAATTTATATTTATAAAATGTTCTTTTCTAATCTGGACATACATTTAAGTATATACATATATATATGTATATACATATGTTTATACATGGATATATACGAGTACATATATGTATGTTTTGTACGTAGAAATGAATGCAGTATTTCTATTATAATATTTTGGTAAAAGAAAAATCGGATTTAAAGGGCGAGAACCGATTTACTCTTAGTCGACTTTCAAAATTGAGCCTTTCGTCAAATTCAAATCTGTACAAACGTGCATGTACGAATGTACATACATACTCGTATGTATGTACACATGTATACATTAAGGTATACATTGAATAATAGATTTTAATAATTTTTGATTTTAATAATTCGCATGGAGCCCGCCGCCTTTTTTGAACAAAATTTCCAGAAAAAAATTCTCTTAATTGTGAACACTTAATGTACATTTCATATATTTAGCCAAGTATGTAAGAATCTTCTTACATACTTGTAAGTCGTCCATATATTTTTAATATACATAATTATTGTTGATTTGTGATATGATTGACTCCATGTATGTATGTATGTTTGAATAAAAATTATGTTTTTGTATGTACATGCATACATATATTAAATTAATGATTTGTAAAATCATTAATTTCTAATAAAATAATGTTTTAGAATATGTACTTTTAGACAGGGTATTAAGCACTAATACGGGTGATAAGGGGTGAAATAACTCCATACATAGCCACAGTAGCTTTGATAGTAATCATATATACATATACATATATGTACATATGTATGTACTTTAAAAAAAAACAAAAATCAGTGATTAGAAAAATTAAAAGTAGCGAGTGAATAAAGTGTAACGGTGTAATATACAACATAAATAAGTATTACAAAAATAAACAAATATTACCTAAACTACTGATCTTCTATAGAAACTCACACAATAAAAATTGTTCTATGCTACATGGCTGCAATTGTGTCTAACCACACTATACATATCATTAATGTTTTAGGTACGAAAGCCAATAAAAAAGAATCCTCAAATAAAGGAATTTTATTTTTTTATGTATGCATTAATAATAGAGTTTACTCACACAATCTCATATAAATTAACATATATTTATATGCATAAAAAATTTAATCCATTTCGATTTCCCAATAGAACAATCTATTATTTTACATTATTATATTGTGTAAACTTGTTATATATGTAAAACTGTGTGTATATATACGAGAATGCAATTGTTACTCTTCAAATTGAATGAAAAAATTCATATAATTTTCTATTGCCAAGAGATTCTTTTTTATAGGGTGGGGGTAGAAATCAAAAATAAATTTATACAAATACATACATATCATTGAGTACAGTATATATTATGCTTGTTACAATTAAAAACAAGTAGGATGTGAAACGTTTTGCAATAGTGTCTGTTAATATATAATAGGCGATCTTCTGGCTTCGGCATTGATTAATGATTGTTTGGCTGCGATGTGTTATTTATATGAAATAAATTCATATTTACGTTTGAGAAAACTACAAGCTTACAGCGACATATTTGAAGAGTAATAAATTGAATAATGTTGTACGCTACAACAATTTTCAATCTATCATTTTACTATTTTATAGAAACAATGTATACAAACAACAGACTACTTTATTCTTATTATAGGAGTTTATGATACAAACATATGTGGGTTTTTTTTTACCATGAGATGTACATACATACATATATTTGATGAATAAGGAAATTGAAATATGGAATAGGAAGATGGACTTTTCTTGCTTTATTTAATTTTTCATAAATTTGCCAAACAATTAAAAAAGTTATTTTCTTTTAATTCCTAATTTATTTTTTACTCTGGCATCATCGGTCAACATGTGAAATTTGGGAATAAATATATGCAGTTGCATATTAAATGTGTATATGTGTTCAATGTACAAATTTTGACTCCTAATAATAGTTTCCTGAATTTTAAAAACAAATTTTTCTGTTTTACAAATTTACTTCTTCCAATAAAACACAATCTCGATTTAATACTTACTAATTTAATAGAACTAAATTATGAAAAATATTCCTGTTTTTATTTCTATTATTCTTCTAATAATAAATAAAATTATTTTTTCTATTACTATATTATATTTTTAATATGGCAATACTCATTCATATGAATTACTACACTAACACAATTCATACTTTCCTCGCCAATAATTACAATATATACATATTACTTGTACAATAGCTACATACTGTAACTCACACTATTACATTTTCTTTTAAACGTGTCGCGTTGATTATTTTATTTGAATATTTCAAATATGATTAAATGGATATTGTAAATTTATATGCTTGTATTCTAATATACATAATATGATACGAAAAATCCCACTCAATTCATATTGCATACCTACACATAATAATGTACATATGTATTAAATTATTTTCCAACAGAATTAAATTGTAGTTTGTAGTTTTCAATTTGTAAAAGAATTCTATTTCAAATTTACATTACAAAACATCAGGAATGAGAGAGGAGAATATGAAATGAATTGAAAATCAAATAAAAAAATGAACAAAAAAAATAAAAAACAGAGAAGCAACAAGAAAAATAGAAGAAATTCAAATAAAGAAACAAAAATTTTAATATTTAAGTCAATTGAGTTGAATAAATGCATTCTTTTCATAACATTTTACATTACATTACCAACACTATCAAATAATAATGCTCTTTTGCTTTTATATTTTTGAATTTTTGAGTAGTGGTGTTGCTCTGCTCGTAATTTAATAGTGTTGGTATTTTTGATATCGTAAAAGAAATAAAGTAAATTTTTAATATTTTAAAGCAACAAATAATAATTTTTTCTTTTATGTAGTTGTTTCTATTGTGTTGTGCTACCACACGTTCATTGTGTAGCTGGATTAAATATAAAATATGTGGAAATAAAACTGAAAAATAAGCAAAATGTTAAAAATTTTTTGTTACTTATATTTACAAACACAACTTTAAAATGTAGAAATTCAAAAAGAAAAAACAAAATTATTTATTATTGTATGTAAAAAAAAAATAACAAAATATCAAAAAAAAAAAATAAAGCGTAGCCTTGTTGACTTAACCAATTTATTTTTTTTTTCTTTTATTTCTTTTTAATTTTTTTTTTGCTTTTAATTTTTTGTGATTATTTTTAGTCCGATTGACTAATTTTATCCCTACGAAACATTTCAGTTACGAGTTTGCTAGCCGCTGGAGCGGTGGTTTAAAAATTACAACTTAAAAAAGGCAAAGGAAGAAATTGAAACGGACTTCTTTTATTAAGAGAAAAAAAAAATAAAAAAAAATTATTTCCATTTAGATAATTAATTTAAAAAAAAATTTAAAAAGAAAATTGAATTAAAAATAATTTAAGGCTCCGAAAAACAAAAAGAAAATTTTTATTTTTCATGAATTAAAAATTTTTTACAACCTTGAAAAAAAAATTAAGCAATTTTCTTAAGACAAAAATATTTTCAACTTAAGGAAATTTCAAAATCAAAAAAATTTAATTTTATATTTGCTCAAAAATTTCAAAAAAAAAAAAATGGATTTAAATAAAAAATTTTTTAGTTTTCGAATGAAAAAAAAATAATTTTGTTGGATGAAATAAAACAAGAAGAAAATAAAATGTGATAATATACATACATACATAAATATTTTATTATAGATAAGTGAATACCGTTATTTAAATGAAAAATGTCTTAAATATATTTACATACATACATACATGAAAAATTACAAAAAAAAAAATAAATAAAAATTTTTATAATACAAAAATCAATTTAAAATTGGAATCATATTGGAATTTTGTTGTTTTTTACCCTTATTTTGTTTTACCAAACATCTAATTGGAAAAAAAATATTGAAAACTGTTTTATTTTTTGTTTAACCTGTAAAAAATTATACACTACACATATTCTCTATATAAAATTAAAACTAAAAGTAACAAGTGAATTTAGCAAAAAAAAAAAAGAAAGAAGAAAAATAATAACACCAAGTGCTCATTACTATTTTATTACCATAATATATAATAACTACACAGAGAAAAATAAAAAAAAATAACTTATTTACAAAATATACTTAATTATACAAGAATATAATGTGCATATAAAAGCATATTAATATCATAAAATAATTATAACTTATAATTTTATATAAAAGAGAAATATATATATATATATATACATACATAGATACAAAATTTTAATAATTATGAAAAATTACAATTTACTCATAACATTCACCTACCTACCTACTTATTTTTAACCATTTTAATTCAGAGAAAAAAATAAAATTGAAAATTATCAAGGCAAAACATAATATTTTTGTTGCCTTTAATAAATAATAATACAAAATAATTATGTTGAATATAAAATAAATTACATTTAATTAATTAATTTGAAATTAAAAGAAAATCAAAATTTTTTTTAATAAAATTTACTGTAACTCTAGTGAAGTTTTATTTTTATTTTTTTTTTTTTTTTGTGTAAATTTCATTTGGAATTTTTTGGATTACAACTTTAAAATTACAATATCAAAAGATATCTGCCTATATCTGCTCGTATCATATTTTTGACTTACATATATACCGAAATTATCATGTTTTTGGATTTAGTAGCTGAAATGTTAATAAATATATGGACTATTTGATCATTCAAATTGGGTAAGTTTTAAATTATTTTTGAAATGTACATTTATCTAATTGTTAGAATATATTTTTAAGCTCATAAATATCGTAAATATTTTTAGAATTTATATAAAGATCGACTGAACTAAATCGTAATGTCGTAAATAATTTTTTTTTTTTTATTAGAATTCGTAAAGTTCGATAAATTCATTAATTTTTATAGCAAATTTAGATAGAGAATAACTAAGAATATTATAGGATATCAATTAGTAAATTTAATTAATTTCAATTCAATCAAAAATTTCATGTTAAGTAATATTATAGAGCAAGTAATTACAAAACTACATATGTATGTATATATAAATATTTTTAAGTACCTATTTATCTAAAACTAAATTATTATGATTGTGGAGTAGATATTTATTTTATTTATTTCTACATACGTTACGATATCTGTCAAATTATTTCGACAAATTGATAAATTACGATGTCTATCAAATCAAGTTAGGGCAACAGTTAGGTACTTACTCATAATTTTCATGATTGTCTTGTATCATTTGTACTGCATGATCAAATATTGTTTAGTTTGCTAATTATTAATTTAAAATTGATAGACACCTAGGTGTTACACTTAATTATCTGTCTATGCAATAGTGTTTCCTAGAGTTTTCTTCTGAGAAATTCAAAAAAAATGGAGAACTACATCATATTTTGAAATAGTTAAATAATCCTGTTAATTAACAATATGCAACAATTATTTTTGAATGCTTATAAATTTGTTTATAAGCTTTTGACTTTAGAAGTACGAGTATTATCGGAAGTCTATTTTTATTATGGATTCAATTTAAGAATTTTGTAATTTGAAAAGATACATACATATATTAAAAAATTTTCTCTTTTTGTGTATTACATAAATCTATATTTACATGCTATATACATACATACAAAAATAGTATGTCATATTGAATTTTTACATCATTATAAGCAGTAAAATCATATTATTTAAAATTACATGTTGAAATATATACATATGTACATACAAACATTATTTAGTTCAACGTGGTTTAAGATTTAGGGCGTATTTCTATTTTATTTAAAAAAAAAAATATTTTTTTTGTGGGCCATATTTTTTTTTCAATAGCCTTCTCTTCCCATCCCTTTTTGCTCCTTATTATATTTTTATTTAAAATATATGGCAATATGATATACATATTTATATACATATACGTACTGTAATATATGCATACATAGAAATAGTATATGCATAGGAATGCTTATATATAATATAAATAATATCTACATACATATTTATGAATTACATACTCAAAAACATTACGTAGGAATGATTGAGAGCGAACGAGAAAGCTTTTTGTTTGTTTGTATTTTCATTTTATACATTCATTTAAAGAAAAATATTTTAACTTTTATAATATTTTCTCAAAACATATACTTAGTGACATAAAATATACATATTTGTATATATGTATAGAAAACTATGCATACGTAAGTAAGCAACTGAGTGCTCAGATAAATTTTATTTTTTATAAAAAAGAAATAATTAAATAATATTTTCACATTTTAAGAGACAAATAAAATACTAATGTTAAATTGAATGTATTTTGAATTTATTAAAGATATTCAGGTATTCTTACATATAAAATAGGTATATTCTATTAGAAATTTATATATGCATGCATTTTTAACTATGTATGTCACTCAAAATACATAAGTATGGATATTAGATTGATTCTGAAAATGAATGAAAAATAAAGAAAAATACACATTTTATTTTATGATTAAGCTTGTAATTTTTTAAGTAAATACACACAAATATATGTATGTATGTAGGTATATTAATTTACCAGTGATGTTCTCAAAATATTCTCACTAATTCTTTATTATTTTCTCATTTCAATACAATTTAAAAATGAATAAGATAAGAATTTAATTATGTATATATATATATTTATATTTGAATAAATATGTTATTATAGTATATACATACATACATGTGTTCTTAGTTAATCAACAATATAAAAAATTCTTTTGCATATGAAATGAATTCTTTCTATTAAAAGTACTAAATTAAAATATCAAATTTTCTAAGCAAAAATCTAATTTTCTAAGTATATGACAACTACCCATAATAAATGGTATACAAAAAGAATTTTTACTAGTAAAAAATGAGAGAAACTCGAATTACTTAGCAATTAAGTATAAGTATTTACTCAAACATTTATACGTGTACATACTTATACTATTTTAAGTGATTTGCTTTGAATTACTTTAAAATACATTACTATTACTATAATATAAACAATTTTTCAAATAAGAATAAGAATAAATAAAGTAATAATAAGAATTATAGCAAAATTTTAATGAGGTCTTAAGTTCAAAAATTATTTAATTATAATTTGAATTATAATTTCTTTTTTAATATTTAAATATTTGTGGTAAAATGCACCTATGGACATACGAATGCGTGTACGAATTGCAATATTATACAATATCATATTATACAGATTTCATAAATTCCGCTCTGTAATGCATAAATAATGTCTCCCCATGACCTTTAAAATTTCAATCGATAGTCTGTATAATCATACTCGTATAACAGATCTATGATTAAATTTACCTATTTTAAATCTAAAACAAATTTTATGAAATTAAAAAAATATTGTGAATGAAGATCACTAGAAAATATTAAATAAATATTTATAAACATAAATGTCAAAAATTTTTATTATTTTTAAAAAGAAATTGTGAAAATAATTTTTATATATTTTAAAAATAAATTTAATAAATTATGAACTTTAAATAGTAATATCAATGTTAATTACTTCAAAACCAAAAACATTTAAAAAATTATTAAAAAACATTAAAAACTAAATGAATTATTAATGATCACTTTAAATGTCATTTAAAAATATTAAAAATTCTTATTTATTTTAATTGTAAGTGTGCATGGTGGTGTAAAAGTTTTGTACTGTTAATTATGATTTTATTTTTCTTTCTTTCAATAACAACCTTTATGAATGCTTATCTTTTCTTTTTATTTTTAAAGGAAAGATAAAATTTTTCTTTTTTTTTTTCTTTTTATTCTTACTTTTACGCTTGTCACTTGCTTTTCGTTCTTTTATTTGCAACGTGTATTTAAACACATTTATTTCTTTATTAACGTAAGAATAATCATAATGAAAAGAGCAAAAAATTGAAAGAATTGACATATTCGTATGCCATGTAAAATATATGTATGTATTCATGTATGTCAGTATATGTAGGTGAATTTGTACATTATTCTTAAGTATGCACAAACATTGATAACGTATCATAAATTATTTTTTTTTTTTTTGATTTTTATATAAATGGAGATACAACATTAGTTGTTTAGGTACTATTTAATGTTGATTTTCTCTTTTCGTTCATTTCATTTGACTTTACTGTTGTGTTTTATTTTCATTGCATTTTCATCCAGCTTTTTACCTCTTTTTTTATTTTAATTATTTTTTTCTTAAATAGGTAGATATTATATTAGCACACTTCTTACGGTACATTATGAACGACTGACAATTTATGAGATACATACTTATATTATAGGTAATTAAATATATTAAGTACCTAAATTTAGTATACCTATATATACCTATATATGCACATATGTTTGTATATAATATATATTTAAATATTTATGAGTGTGTGTTCTTGCATATGAATATGCATACATATATAAAAATGTGTATATTTAATAAAATATCAACATAAATTGGTCAGTGACCTCATCAAATATTTAATTTTATAAGCATATTTTAAAATAAATATATATTTTTTTTAATATTATTGTTATTCTTTTTCTGTTTCTACTTTTTTAATGTTTTGCTGTAAATTTTTTTCTTTTTGTATTATGAAAAGAAAAGAAATTCATATTAATTTTTTTTTTCTGTTTGAAGAAAAGAAAGAAAGGCAATAAAATTGTTATACATACATACTTACATAGGTACTAACATATTTTATTTTATTTAAGAGTATATTATGCATACAGCCATACATTAATGAGAAAAATAAATAGATATTTAATTATCATTTTGTCGATTAGAATTTAGAAATACTTAGAGTATGTACTCACTTGTTATGTTTGTGTGTTATTCAATTTTTTCTGTAATTTCAAAAATTTATAAATTGCTTATTTAATAAAATTTTTAAAATTTAATAATTCAAATTATAATTTTACAAACATATTGCTGAAATATGCAGAATTAAATTTTTATTCTGGCTGGTTTCATAATTTTACATGGAGTTCTTCAATTAATACTGCACGTGTTACATGTGCTCGCGTGTGGTGAATAATATAAGATCACTATTTTAATTATATGTATGTACTGCCATAAATTAAATTATATTTGGTAATATGTACTTGAATTTATTAAATATACCTAATTTAATTGTCGTTTTTGAAAAATAAAAACGAAAGAAGTTTTGTCATTTTTTATATTGTGTTGTTGGCATTTTTAAAAATATTCTTAAGTGTAGGAAAAAAAAAAAACAAACCAATATTTTATAGGTAATTCAATAATTTTATTTTGTTTGATTCTGTTTTTCTGTAATGAAAACAATTTGTTAATAAGTCACTTACCTCTTTTTACATTAATTTTTGTAATTACATACATGTTTATTATATTTATGTATGTATAAGTATACGTAGGTACATTACGATATGTTTATCGAATTTTGAAATATAAGAGGCAAAAATCTAAATTAAAAAAAAAAAAAAATTTATTTAATATTTTTTTTTTTTGTAAAGAATGCTTGTACATAACTTTTTAATAAATACAAGTATAAAAACGCTTAAAATAAAACATTATTATTATAAAAAAATATGCAATGTAACACACGTACTCATACATAAGTAATTAGTTATTGTGTTTAATAATTTATAAGTGAAAATTAATATTATTGTATTCAAATAAGTACAAGTGTTATGTTGGGTAAAAAGTTGCGAAGTAAAAAAAAGAAAATCAGAAGTTAAGCAACAGGTTACA